CAAAGTATAATCTTACAAGACCACACCTGCTATCATTTCAATTAAAATATTCAGCAATTGTTTTAAAATAGATTTATCACACAGAGAATTAAAAATCAGTTAGTAACAACACATTTCTTTTAGTCAATTTTCACGATTTGAAAAATATCGAGAAAACAAAAAACGAGCATTACCGAATTTAGAAATTAGATTTTTTCCTTTTTTCTTAAAAGAATTTCAATTTTTCCCTTTTTTTGAAAAAAAATTCCAATTTAGATTCAATATTAGATTTTTACCTTTGCCTATGCATGCATAAAAAGACACGTAATGCAGGAATAGACAGGATCAAACTTGAAATGCACATAAAGTTTTTTCAATGTTCATCAATGAAAAAATGTGAGAAATTTTGAAATATTGACAGAAATTGGAAATAATGATGGTTAGTTTTTAGAAAAATGGTTAAAAATTTAGAATATTTAGTTATCATACCTTCGTTGAGTTTGAAGAGAGAAAAAATGCAGGTAACGATGCTCTCGACAACCGCTTTGTGTGAGATTGAACGTCAGACAAATACGCGGACCAGGAAGAAAGTGGACTACAAGTCTAGAAGTGAGGAGCAAGAGTACAGTCAAACGCAGAACTCAACCAGCACAACTGGGCTGAAATTTCGCTCGAGATTGTGAACCTTCTCGCACACACAGGCGCAAGCTAACCCCTCTCTGTTGCACACACATTCAGTCGCACACACACAACACACAGTCAGCTCAGCTGGCAATGAGAGTCTCCTGCCCACCAACCAAATTGGTACATACTATTGAAGACTTGAAGATCCCTTAGCTCCAAGGTTATCCCCACCCCCCCCCCCCTCCCTCGGTATTAATTTTTCGAGCTGAACTATATTTGCTATCAGATCTCGCTACCAAATCTACATATAGAGGATTATTTTTGTAACCTTATGCATTGTCTATACATCTATAAACATATTCTAGGGATCGGTCATTGAAAATTTTTTAGAAAAATCAAAATTCTATTGTATTGTTCAAAAGGAGTTATTATTTCAATGAATCCAAAGAAATAAATTCAAAATCTATAAGTGAAAAATGAAATCCACTTTTTGAATTATTTTTAAACGCAAAAAAAAAAATAGTATACAAAAATAAAGTTACATAATTCGTGTATATAGGTTCCCTGCACAGGAAGTATTGAGTATAACAGTATCTCACATCAATCCAGTGTGAGGTCATCCATTTTGTATTACAACTTTAATATTATTGTCGCAGGACATATTTGATGACTAGATTTAAAACATTTTTTTGTACGGTCTAGAATTCGTATACAATTCTATAAATATTCGATTATTAAAGAAAATAATTTGAAATAATGATTTTTGTTGAAATATTTATAAAAATAGTTAATTATCCATAATTAGGAATGGCGGATACATGGGGAGGGGGCGTAGTCAATAGGGTCTAAATTTACATTAAAAAATCATCTAATTTTGACATAAATTTTGTTATTCCGAATGACTATTTGTCTTAATCAGGGTTCCTACAGAAAACCGAATTTAAAATGCCATACCTTTTCCATGATTTCCAGGTCAAATTTTTGGAAATTCCAGTGGAATTTTAAATAATAAAATTAATTTAATTTTCACGTCGTATAATGTATATATTATCTTAAAATTGCTAATATAAGTGTAATATAATTTTAAAATAAATAAATTATTTAGATGTCATAAAAAATTGTTGAATTTAATATGGTTTTATAAAAAAAAATTATAAAGAGTACTGAATACTGATCGAATTATGTACAAAAGTGCTTATAATCTTGTACTTAGGATAGAAGTCCAGAAAAATCCATAATTTAAATAACGCAATTTTAAGCAACTGTTTTATAAATTTTGTACCTAATAAATGGACGAATTCAATAGTAAACTAGTATGACTAGAAGAAAGATACTTGGTTTTATTATAATAATTTAATTAGTCTCATAATATAAAATAATACTCTGATATAATATTCTAAAGCAATTATTATCAAATATTTCTAACGTATAGTCAATTCTCATTTGACACTTTTGCTCCTTTTTTACAGCTATTTAAATTTTTTTATCCCTGCTCCCATTACTCTTTATTTTCTTGCTTGTATTTTGTAACTGTTATATAAGATTTACTAAAATTCTCAACGTTCAAATAAACGAAATTTTTATTGTGTCTAAGTTTAACAGTTACTGTGCAAAATGGAAATTAAACAATGTTAATTCAACATTTATTTAGTTGAAAATTACTTTTTTTTATATATATACAAAGTATTTTTTAATAAAATATAAATTAAAACAAGCAAAAATAATATCGGCTATAATATTTCAACGTTTTAATCTTTAGAGACACACTGTAAATATTTAATAAAAATTAATTTTTTTTAACTAAACAAATTTTTTTTATGAAGAACAACAATATATTTACCGAAATATAAAAAAAGAATCACCTCTTAAAGCATTATATATAATATAAAAACAATAATTTTAGACACCACTCCAGAGTTGAATTTCAATTCGAAGTGAGCCATTTTGAACGTTTTTCAGACAACAAATTTTAAATCATTTTTAATAAATTAATTAATACAAAAATAATCCAAAATATGATACAAATTATAATGTCTTATGTGTCAGGTTCAAGAAGTGATTTTTTAGAGTCAAAATTTTTTTATATATTATTTAAAATATTCATTAAAATACAAAATACCGCGATAATACCCACATCCGTGATAATACCCACTTTTACTCTACCTTAAAACTGTTATCACAAAGCAATTTTTTACGTATCAAACAACAAAAGCACTTATCTTGTGCTTATGATAAAATATCAATAATATCATAAATTTGAATAACATTTTAATATAACTTATTGCTAAACTTCGTGTACGCGAATTCAAAAGACTGCAATGAAATGTTACAGCTTGCATAAAATTATTGAAGAGAGAAAATGGAAAATAGGAAAAATTTAGAAACTTTTAAAAATTCCAGGCCTTTTCCATGATTTCCAGAAGCCTTTTAAAAATTCCATACCATTTCCATGATTTCCAGATTCTGTAGGAACCCTGAATTAATTATTAATCCTCCGAATCAGGGACTACATAACCTAAAATTCATTCACAATAATCGGCATTCAATTAAATTTGTATGTTTGCGAAATTTCATTTCACATAATTTTTATACTTCGAAATACTATATTGAAGGTAAGTTTCATTTTATCGAATAATCATTGATTCTAATTTTTAAATAATAGATAATCGTCTTTTAAAATATTTTTTATTTTGACGAAAAATTCTTTGATATAAATTTTGTTATTCCCAATGACTATTTTTCATAATTATTATTAATCCTCCGAATGACTACATAATCGAAAATGTATAAATACTAATAACAATTTAATTTGTATTGCGAAATATAATTTAGTATTATTTTTTGGCATAATTTTTAATTTGACGAAAAATTCTTGAGCCTAAATTTTTTTGTCATAATTATTAATCCCTGATAATTAGGTCTAAATTAGGCAGCTTCCATGAAACAGTAAAGTTTTTTCGAAAAATGTTTCCGCCTTCGCTATAATTTCACAGTGAGTGCACAATAGACAAATATTTCTTAATCAATGCTTGTTTTTCTGTATGGCTTTCTCATGGTAGAGTGGGCAGTTATGCATTGGCTACGAAATAAATGTCTGTTTGCGTGCGGACTCAACCTCAGCATTAGCGCCATTTTTTTTTTTCACTAATTGTCACAAATTACTTGACACCTCTCCTTCCACCCAGAAGTGTGACCTCACTTATATGGAAGCCGCCATAAAAAAAGAAGTGGCATTATTCTGAACTAAATTCTACTTGCAGTTTATCTATATAAGAATAATATTGAATGAATTTCTGAAAATGCCTAATAGTTATTGACTTTACAAAAGGAGAAAATAATTTTGTCTAATTACGTTTTCTGTAATATTTTCCGAGTGCAAAATACCGAGCTCATTGTATTGGATTTTTAAAAACAAAAGTACGGGTTATGAAGCACTTGTCTTTTTTTATCTCTACTAAAATACCACCGTCGATGCGGTAGCAAACGACTGTCTTCGATAACTCTCTTTCCCGCTTTTTCTCAAATGACTATAAAAGTTCGCTTCGTCCTTTTTATGCCATGCAATTTTTTTTATAGTAGATCACATATATAAAAATAAAAAGGACAAAAAATTATACACCGGTATGGATATTTGAGGAAAATTTTTATGCGCAAACTATAGTAAAGCATGCGTTCACACGGTTCACACTAAAACGTTTTACTTAAAATGTATGAAATGTAGAATTATCTTTCAATCACAGTAACTGAAAATAAGTATACTATGGTTTGCAAAAAGTAAGTAACTTATAAATTTTAAAGCACTTTAGAACAAAAAGCTTACTAAAAGGTCAAAACAAAATAGAAACGTAACCGAAATCGTAATCGCAAACGTAGAATGAGTTAGAGAAGGACAAACAATATACCTATCCTTTTCTAATTCATTCTGCCGAAATAATATGCGCAGAAAGCTACTGTGACTCGTAACTTACAGCTTATTTCAGAAAACCAAACCATCACCCTATAAATAATAATAATATGATTGGCTCTGACAAAGTACATTTTCACGCAGCTTTTTGTAGAGCCAATCATATTTAGTAATATGAGTTTCAAGGCCATGAAAATTCGCTGCTCGCCCAAAATTTTGGAAGTGTGCAAGCGCCTTAGGCCGCAGTCCCATGGCAGCGTTTTGCGTTGCGTTTTGTAACTAGGCCATGAGTGTGAGAGAGATACAGATATATGTTTGCTCTATTTGCACTCATAGCCTAGTTACAAAACGCAACGCAAAACGCTGCCATGGGACTGCGGCCTTAAATAAATAAAAAAAACCATGTAATTTACCTAAAGTACTTTACGTTCCCATCCCTGCTCAGAACGAGTTTCACGAAACTATTGTGCGTCGGCCTTAACGATTGCGTTTCAGCGTTTGTGTAACTATTGTGTGTAGGGCTTTAGCATGCACCAGTTGTTTGAAACAATTTTAAAAGGAAAATTGTCAAAAAGTTTACCTAATATTTTTATTTATTTACAAAGGCATTTTTTAAAGGGAAAATTACACAATTTAAGAAACAATTCAAGTCAACTGCAATAGTAGCAGTATTGCTTTAAATAATGTCTGATGAAACAATAGATGAACATGAATTTGATGCAAGCAATGTTGAGACACAAGAGGTTAGTTTTAAACATAAACAGTATTGTTTACACCGGCATAGTAAAAGTTTTAAATCAAGTAATTTTACAACGTCGAACGTTGATTAAAATTAACCCAGCATTCTATTGCACATATTAAATTTTATTTTACATCACCTGCTTACAGGGAAAATAATCCAAGCTATTTTAATATTCAAAATTGTTTATACGTAAATTAACATTTGGAACCAAAAGAACTTTTGTCATTTTTAATTTTAAGTAAAAATTATTTTTTCTAACGAAACTTTCTTATTAAATTTTATCATTAATTTAAGAAATTTCTCAAACATTTTATAAAGCTGTTCATTTTTTTTTTTTTTTTTTTTTTTGTAAAATGATCCTAAAGTTACTAAAATGCTTGAACTCTTATAATATAATATAACTCTTATAATAAACAATTAAAGTTTATAATAATAAAATTTAGAATCTGTAATGTTTTATGATTACAAATATCCAGCAATTGTATTAAAAAATTAACAATCGAGGATGCGGAACGACGAAATGGTTTTATAAGTTTTTGAGAGTCAAAATTCTCGACCTCTAAATAAAAAAGAAGATTTAAAATTTCAATTTCTTGTATTTCGCATTTATATAAAGATTACAAAATCGTTTTCAGAATATTTTACAAATCCGTTTAGGAGTTTAGCCTTTATGTTTGTCTAAATTTTAAAAAATCCAATTTTTTCAGAAAAATACAAATATTTCAAAAAATACGAAATGTATTAAAATTTTCTACAACATATATCGAAATTTTTAAACCAATTAATAATATTCCAGAATATTTTACAAATCCGTTTAGAAGTTTCGTCTCTACGTTTGTCTAAATTTCAAAAAAAATCTAATTTTTTCTATTGAAAAATCTAAATATTTCAAAAAATACGAAATGTATTGAAATTTCCTGAAATATATATCGAGATTTTAATCCAATTAAAGTTTTTAAATAAAAATTGGAAAAAACATTTTTTGTGAAAAATATTGTTTACAAAATGAAGCGCAGAAGATTAACTTTTGAAACGTTTAATCTTTATTTCTGCTGCACGTTACTTTTTGTGCATGAAAAGTTTTCATTTTATGATTATAAATATTTTTTTAAATTAAATTATTTAAAAATTTTTTTTTTTTAATTCTCGGCAAAATTTCCCAGGAATTCAATTATTTGCAAAATTTGATAAAATTTATCAAAAAATATCAATTATTTAAAAAGATTTTTATAAAATTCGTCGCAAGAATTTAAAAATATTTTTAAAAAATTTAATTCTTTACAAGAATTCAATTATTTTTATAAATAATAAAATTCTTCACCGAAATTCAATTATTTTTATAAACTTGAATAAAATTCGTTGCAAGAATTCAATTATTTTTATAAATAATAAAATTCTTCACAGAAATTCAATTATTTTTATAAATTTGAAAAAAATTTGTTGGAAGAATACAATTATTTTCAAAAGTAATAAAATTCTTCGCAGAAATTGAATTACGTTCAAAAATTTTTTAAAAATTATCGTCAACATTATTTTCAAGTATCTTTATAAATAATAAAATTCTTGGGAAAATTTTAATTATTTTCATAAATAATAAAACTCATCGCAGAATTTTAATTATTTTTGATACAATTTTAATCAAATTCCTCGAAAAATGTAATTATTTTTAAAAATTTTATTAAAATTCGTTAAAAGAATTCGATTATTTAAAAATTTGTTGATAAAATTCTTTATAAGAATTCAACATGGAATTATTCAATAAATTGTTTTCTTTTTGTATTTAAATAATTAAATTCTAGTAGAATTTTCTTATAAAAATTGATTTAAAAATGAATTTCAGTTAAAATTTTAGATTATAATTGAATATTAAAAGCTTTATAGCGTGAATTTTTAGAAATAATTGAATTTTGAAAAGATTTTAAATTAAAATCTTTAAAGATCTGAATTTTTCAAACTTTTAACTGGCAATTCTGTAGAATTAATTTTTTTTAAAAGAGTTTAAATTGATTTTTTTTAAAAATTACTTTAAGTTTTTATTTTCTAAATAATTGAAGAATTTTCGAATAATCGAAATTTCGTAAAATTGAATATTGTAAACAAATTGATTTGAAAATTCTCAATAAAATTTTTGAAATTTATTACATTAATTTTGAAAAATTTATGAAAAATTGTATTAAAAATAATTGATATCCTGTGAAGAATAATTTAAATTATTACAAGTTGTTGAATTTCAAAAAGGTTTGAATTTGAATATAAATATAAAGAAAAATATTTAAAAAATAAAAATTTAAAAAATTTAAAAAAAAATTAAAAATTAAATTAAAAATGTTTTGCAGGAATTTTTACAAGAACCCCTAAAGGTTCTTAAAAGTGCTTGGTTAAATGAGAAATTCGCTCCTGAACTTCTTCCACATAAGGAAAACCTGGTACGCTTTATGATGCAATGTTTATCAGACATGGAAGAAAAATTGGAGAGTTTAGATAAAGATGACATTAGAATTACGATTCATACCATGGAACTGAATAGAATAAGATTTCTTATTTCAAGTTACCTCAGGACTCGTCTTAGGAAAATAGAAAATCACGTGATACACATTCTCAAAGAGCACAGTAATTTAATTGCGAGCAACTCTGAGAATTTCTGTCTCACTGAATCTGAATTGAATTTTGCCAAAGATTATTTTAGAAATTTCGAAACACTTTTTCAAACAGTTGCTCTACAGCACATGCCGGATAAATTTCGTGCATTCGATTATGATACGTTGTCTGTTAATCCTAATTTACAAAGTCAAGTGTTTCTCACTGCAAACAAAGAAATTGATGGGATTATAATTCCAGAAACAATGGAAGATCCCATTACTTTTGAAGCAGGCTCACAGCATATTGTGCAGTATGGAGTGATTTCAAAGTTCGTTAAAAGTGGCGACGTTCAGTTATTATAAAAATTTTAGATATTTCTAACATCTACTCTGAGCCTTGGATAATATAATGTAATAAATTTAAGTACTACGAATATTTTTATATTAATTCATAACATGTTTAGTGTGGCAAACAGTTCCTACTTTTTATATTTATAAATGTTAAAAATGTTAAGGATGTGAATAGAAAAGTGCAAATTATTTCTTTCTTTTGCATTTCTTTTCCTGTCCACGTTCCTTTATATCAAGAAACATGTTCAATGTTATAAATCAAGATACTTCGAGTGTAAACATAATTCTTATTATCAGGACTGTTTTATAATGTAGTTGGTTCATAGATTTAAAAGAAACATTTCTAGTGCAGTCCTCACTTGCGTTAAAGGATTAAATTTTTTTTTAAACTTTTGTTTCTTTAATAAAAATTACCTAAACTTTATCAAATTTTTTAATTAAATTTATTTCAGTAAAGTAATAGTTTATTTTTGAAAAACAAATTTATTTTAAGAATAAAGCAGTAAATAAACTTTGAAAAGTTTACTCTTTATTTCTGATACACGCATTTTTTTGTGCAATGAAATTTTAGAGCAGCAATAAAAAATAGTTTAAATTAAAAAAGAAACAGTTGTAAATATTTAGAGAAAAAAAAAATGATATTTTTAAATTCAGTCATATTTTTCTTTCTATTTATTGGACAAAATTTATTTACAGAGTTAATTCATGATAAATTTGGTAACCGGAAAAACTTGAACTTATTTATTTACTAATGTTAGTTGTAAGTTGGTACAAAAAAGCATCGAAGCAAGATATTATATAGACATTTCAAAACATACAAATATGCCTTTATACATGTAGTATAAATAATACATTTTTTTCAATTTAATAACAAATTTATTATTTAAATTAAATTTATTACAAAGTCATCATTTATTTTTTTAGAAATTTTGTTTTCAAAACAAATAAAGCAGTAAAAAAGCTTTTAAAACCTATATTTTTAGAATACGTGATTTTCTATGCAATAAAATTTTGCGATTATATTAACATTTCAGAACGTCAATGTTAAAAAATTAAATTAAAAAATTCATTAAATTTATGATCGATGAAATTGATAAAATTTGTAAGATTAGTATTTTAGTGAAGTCAAGTCTCAATTATATTTAGAAGTTGGTTGTTTTTTTAATATTATTTAATTATTACAAAAGTTTTAATGCAATTATCTTGATAAATAACAAAATTCTTCACAGAAATTCAATAATTTTTAGGAATTTTAATAAAATTCTTTACAAAAATTCAATTATTTTCATAAATTGAGCGTGTCAATGCAAGAACCGGTCGTACGCTAGGGATACACATATGGCGTACGACCGGTTCTTGCATTGACACGCTCAATTACAATATTCATTCTAAGAATTCTATTCTTTTAAAAAGTAATAAAATACTTTGCAGAAATTAAATTATTTTCAAAATTTTTTGAAAATTCTCGTCAAGAATTAAATTATTTTTGTAAATAGCAAAATTTTTAGCCAAAAATTCAATTATTTTCAAAAATTCATAAAAATCTTTGCAAAAGTTCAATTACTTTCAAAAGTTTTTTGCAATTCAATAATTTTCAATATTTACTATTTTCATAAAATTTATCAACAGATTTAATTATAGAAAAAACTTTTTTATACAATTCTACGAAAAGATTCAATTATTTTCATAAATAATAAAATTTCATTTACGAATTCAATTATTTTCATCACAGAATTTAAAATATTTTTAAAACAATTTTAAATAAATTCCTTGAAAAATGCAATTATTATTTTTAAAAATTTTTTAAAACTTGAGTAAACAATTCATTTTTAAGAAACATTCAATTATTTAATAAAACAATAAAATTCGTTGCAATAATTCAAATATTTTCATAAATAACATTTCATTCGTCGCAGAAAATCAATTATTTTCAAAAATGTTCAATTAAAATTTCAATTTTGCAAAAGAATTCAATTTGCTTGATAAACAACAAATTCGAATAAATTCTTCCCATAAAATCAATTATTCTAAGGAATTTTAATAAAATTCTTTTCCAAAATTCAATATTATTTTGATAAATATCAAAATTCATCAGAAGAATTCAATTCTTTTGAAAAAGTAATAAAATACTTTGCATAAATTAAATTATTTAACATTTTTTTTAAAAATTCTCGTCAAGAATTAAATTATCTTTATAAATAGATAGGAAAAATTCTTCTCAAAAATTAAATTATTGTCTAAAATTTTTTAAAAATTCTTCTCAAGAAGTCAATTATTTTCAAAAATTTTAATAAAATTCGTCTTATGAATTCAATTGTTTTCAAAAATTATTATTTAAATTCTTCTCAGGAATCTAATTATTTTCAAAAAATTTAATAAAATTCTTGAAAAAGTTTTCAATTATTTTCAAAAATTGTTATAAAATTCTTTAATATAATAAATTTCATTAAAATTTCAATTAAATTCCTTAAAAGAAATTAAATATTTTCAAAAGTTGATACAATTCTTCGTAAAAATTAAAATTTAAGAAACATTCGATATTATTTATTTTTGTATTTTTGTAATTTGACATAAAAAAATAATATTCATTGGAAATAGATGTTTGTTTTGATACTAGTTTTCAAAAATGAAAAAATAAATTATTTACTGCAATATCTATCTTACAATTTTAGATGTTTTTCGTGACCGACTTCCGTATAAATGAAGCGCGACTTTTATGTTTCTTCTACTCAGTTTTCAGTTGTTTTCTTATACACTCTCTGCTATTTTTGCTATAAAAATCATGAATATTTCTTTCCATTCATTATTATTACTTATGTGCTTCACAAGTTTATTCCTTTCTGGTAAGTGATTTAAATATAGAAATTCTCTTAATATTGTCAATTCAGTCAATTTAAAATTCTGTCAAGAAATTCAAGTGAATTTAAATTCAATTAAACAAAAATTTTGCGAAATAATTTTCGACCACTCAAAAAATCCTAACAGTTTGTCTATACCTATACAGACAAGAATATAATTGTTGTTTTTCAGGTTCGGCCGAAAATCCTGCACCAAATAAGAAGAAGTCTTTAACGGACTATTTGAGTGGTAAATTTTGAAGACTTACAATAATGAAATTTGTATTGGAATTTTTAAACTATTAATCATGACCTTTTTTAGACTGATTAGATTTTAACTGAAAACCGTATTTAAATTTTTTCAGAATATTTTGCCAAATATGATCACCATTAAGGTTGAAACATGTTAAGAACGGCCTTAAAGACTACGTCTAACGTCACTTGCACGCTATTAAAATTTATTATCTTTATAAAATATAACTATCATAAATAATAATAATGTAAAATTACAAAAACTGTTTTAAATCGTTTGAATTCATTTATAATTTATTAATTATCCTTGAAAAAACCTGGAAAAGTCAGGGAATTTTGATCATCGGAATACTGGAAAATTGTTGTTTTCTTAAGTTATTGTGATTATTCTTGAAATCTGATTAATTTTTAGAATTCATAAGAAAATTTTGGTGTTTTTTTTTTTTGTTAAAACTTGGAAATTACCACGAATTCTGATACAAAACCTTTCATTTTTTCCTTTTTTGACATTAATTTATTTTAAATAATTTAATTATCTTTAACAACTGTCATAAAGTTATTATTTAAAAATTATTTAATAAATAATTTTATTTAAATATTTCAAAATTAATTCAATTTTAAAAGAGTTTTAATATAAAATTTTATAAATTTCAATTTTCAATACATTTAATTAGAAATTTTAAAGAATTTAATTTTTAAAAAATAAAAAAAAAACAATGCAAAATTATTAATTTACAATTATTTTTAATACAATTATAATCGAATTAAATAAATTATTGTGAATTATTTTTAGAAAAGTTACAAATTAATATGCAGAAATTCAATTACTTTATCAAAAATAATAAAATTCTTCAAAAAAATTCAATTTTTTTTATATTAATATGAATACAACTTATCGCAAAAATTCAATTATTTTCAGTACAATTTTAAGAAACATTAAATTATATTTAATAAATATTCTTTATAATTTTATTAAAACTCTTCAAAAATCAATTAGGTATTTTCAAAAACTTTATTCAAATTCTAGTCAAGAATTCAATTATCTTCATAAAAAAGTAAATTCTTTTTAGAAATTTAATTATTTTCATAAATAATTAAATTCTTTTTAGGAAATCAATTATTTTCATAAATAAACTCATCGCAGATTTTTAATTACTTTTTAATACAATTATTTTATTCTAATCTCTTCGAAAAATGTAATTATTATTAACAATTTTATTTGATTTCGTCAAAAAAATTTAATTATTTAAAAATTTGTTGATAAAATTTTTGTGAACCAACCAGAATTTGCAAAAGATTTACATTTGTTATTCACATCTTAGATCTTCTTAAAATACCAACCCATACACAGCACCAAGAATTTCCTGAAACTTCTTTCAAATAAGGTACAATTTGATACCATTTTTAAAAACATACCTTTCTTCATCTCATACCCTTGAGAACATAATAAAACTGAAGTTCAAGAATGTATTCTTACTTTTAAAAATTTTTATTATATTTTGTGATTTTTTTCATAAACTTACAAGCGAGAAAACAGATTTTAGCACTTTTGAATATTTTTTCTCTCATTTTGCAAAAAATTTGTCGTAGAGTTATTATAACTTTTTACAATCAAGTTTCTTAGGTCATATCTAGTTTCTTTGGACATAGTTTATAGTGCCGAGAAATCTGTAAAAATTCATGTTTTTTTTAACTCTCTTAAAGTTAGACATTATTTTATATAACGATGATGATAAAAAGACACAATAAATGAGATCAGTAAATGTACAAATCTGAATATATACTATTTTAATAAAAATATTATATTTTGTTATATTCTTAATTGTAGCATAGATTGAAAATATATATTGTGTACAAATTTTTTTTTTTTTAAGGCACATTTATAATTGTATGCACGTCGTATTAGAATATTAACAAAATTGTTTCTCCTTTTCTAAACAAAAATAGTTCAAACAAAAACTTAAATTTTCACATATTATAAACTTGAAGAAATATACATAATTTAAAACAGTTCTTTAAATAATTTTTTTATTTTAATTGCAATATAATCTTAGCAATATAGAAAACATTGTTTCACATTGTTCCACATTGTTCGAGAAAAAGGTGAACTTCTTTATCTTTCGTATTTAGCTTCCTTGAGTTTTAAAAAATATCCATGAATATGTTTTAAGAAACAAACATATTCTCTAGATATGAATTTCTTTTATTTTCATTCATAATTTTTTAGAATTTTTTTAATTTGATTCAAAGTTCAGCAGAAAGTGAGCTCTTTAATAAAGAAGTTCTTTTACTTTTTTAATACTTTTTAAATTTTCAATAATCTATGCTATACAGTAGAAAAATTTGAAAATAGAGTAAATCGACGAAATAGTAAAATTGATAAATATATTTTTTTTTGAAATACGTAACAATAATGGTTAATCTTAATATAAACAAAACAAAAAAACACAATGCATGTTTAACTTTTCTTTAAATGTGATTTAATCGAGGACAATGTGTCCAATACGCGACCAAAGTGAATTTTTAATGGACGTATGTACTCTGATAGGGCTGTGCACATTTCACTTTGATTATAGGAAAGAATAATTGAAAATTTATATACTATTATTATTAATATATAAATTATTATTTTATTATCCTTAATAATAGTTTTTCAATATTGGCTACAAATAATAATCGAGAGTATTTGGAGAATTTTGGAGAATTTTACATACATTGTTCCTAATCTCCGTCTTCTTATAAACGATTTAAAATTTTAATATAAGTTAACAAATGCAGGGTTGCCAAAGGTCAGGGAAATCAGGGAATTCAGGGAAAAGTCAGGGATTTTTATTAAAGTACTGGAAAAAATTGAATTTTGGAGAAGTTAAAAATAAAAGAAATTTAATTATTTTCAAAAAATTTTCCCTCAATTCAATGATTTTCAATTTCTACTATTGTAATTAAATTTTTCAAAAAAATTCAATTATTTCAAAAATGTTAATAAAATTCTACGTAAACAGTTAATTTTTTTCATAAATATTAAAAATTTCACAGGATTTTTATAAATAATAACATTTTTTACAAAAATTAAATTATTTTCATGAATAATAAAATTCATCATAGAATTTTAATTATTTTTTATACAATTTTAATTGAATTCCTCGAGAAATTTTATTACAATTCCATAAATTTACAAAAAAATGCTTCTTCTTTCACAAATTATATTATTTTTTCATGGTTTTTGTTTTAATGAGTTTCTTACAACCCCCTGTACAATTAAGGGCATGGATTTTGTAAAATTTTAATTTTGTCAAAAGTTACAAAAAAAATAATAAAAAAAAAATTTTTTAATTTTCGAAAAAATCATGAAATTTTTTTTTCTTTGTTCACCTTATTTCTGAATCAAAATAGTGTCAGAAAAAAAATATACCAAATTTTTTCAATTATATTCTGTTATAGTTGAAATTTCGGGTGCGGGTCCCCTTAACATTGTATTAAAAATAATTGAAATCCTGTGAAGAATTTTATTAATTTATGAAAGTAATTCAATTCTTGCAGAAATTCAATTATGTTTAAAGATTAAAAAAAGATTCTCGTCAAAATTCAATTATCTTTAAAAATAATAAAATTCTTCTCCAAATTTCAATTATTTTTAAAAATTTTAATAAAATTCTTTGCAAAAGAATTCAATTACTTAAAAAAAATTTTTTGATAAAATTCTAAACAAATTTCGCAATAATTCAATTATTTTCATGAATAATAACATTTTTTACAAAAATTCAATTATTTTCATAAATAATAAAACTCATGATAGAATTTCAATTATTTTTGATACAATGTGAATTGAAATCCTCGAAAAATTTAATTATTTTTGAAAATTTTATTAAAATTCCTCGAAAAAATTCAATTTTGTTGATAAAATTCTTTATGAGAATTGAATTTTGAGAAACATTCAATTATTCAATAAATTATTCACTTTTGCATTTAAACAATTAAATTCTTGTAGAATTTTCTAATAAAAATTGATTTTTATTTCATAAAAATGAATTTCAGTTAAAATTTTAGATAATAATTGAATATGAAATGAATTATAGCATGAATTTTTAAAAATAATTGATAATTGAATTCTTTCGAAGAATTTTGATAAAATTTTGGAAAATAATTACATTTTTCGAAGGTTTACTTAAAATTGTATTAAAAATAATTGAAATCCTGTGAAGAATTTTATTAATTTATGAAAGTAATTGAATTCTTGCAATGACTTTTTTTTAAATAATTGAAATAATGTAAAGAATCTTAATTATGAAAATAATTGAATTCCTACAACGAATTTTATTACATTTTTTTTTAAAATAATTGAATTCTTTTGAGAACTTTTATTACAATAGTAGATTTTGAAAATATTTGAATTTCAACGAAGAATTTCATTATAATCGTGAAATGTAATTAAATTTATGCAAATAATTTGAGAAAATAATTCCATTTTTTTTTAGGAATTTACTTTAAATTGTATTATAAATAATTGAAATCCTCATAACAATTTTATAATTTATGAAAATAATGGAATTCTTACAACGAATTTTATCATTTTTTTTAAATAATTGAATTTATGAGAAAAATTTTATTACTTGTAAAAATAATTGAATTCCTGCAAATGAATTTTATTATATATTATTTAAATAATTAAATTCTTTTAAAAACTTTTATTAAAATAGTAAATTTTGAATTTTTTTTTTTTTTTTTTTTTAATTTCAGCATAGAATTTCATTATTTGTAAAATGTAATTTAATTCTTACAAAAAAATGTTTAAAGATAATTTCATTTTTCGAGAATTTTATTTAAAATCGTCTATGAAGAATTTTATTATTTATGAAAATAATTGAATTTTTTATAATTTTTGTAAATATAATTTAATTTTTTTTTTGAAAAATTTTATGTAAATTAAAATTTTTATAAAACATGAAGATATCAATCACTCCGAGTCTTCGACTCGGAGTGATTGATATCTTCATGTTTTATAATAATATTCTTATAAGTTGATGAATTTTAAAAATGTTTGAATTTGAATGTTTTGAAGAATTTTAATTTCTATGGAATAATAATTAAATACTTATTTAAAAAAAAATTATTGTTTTCGACTAATTTTCCAATTAAAGAAATTCGTAAGTAAATGTAATAATTAATGTTTTTAATAATTTTTAGAGTGAATCAGAATATTCTTTAGGGTCAGGGAAAAAGTCAAAATCAGTCAGGAAAAAGTTTGGAAATCAGGGAAAAGTCAGGGAAAAACAAAATGAATTTTTTTGTGACAACCCTGAAATGGTATGGAATAGTTTGTAAAATTTTGGAAAACAGATTATATCATCTTGTGATGAAACATCTAGATCTGGTTTTGAGAGTTTTGGTTAGTTTAAAAAAGGGGGTAATTGAACGTAACTCTGTTGGCCGCCGGGCTCGGTTTTAATGAGGACTTGGTCCTTTAGGCCCTGTCGACTTGAAGGGGAATGCATTCCATAGTCCTGCTTCTGATCGTGCTGATGGGAGTACTCTGCCTGTTCGTGTTGATACTTTTCAGTGGGACTGAGGCCGCTCACGTAGTCGAGCTGCTTGTTTTGATGCTCGTCTTCTGAAATGGAACTGGCGAGATGTTGGGGTGAGGAGTGTGTGACCATGGTTTGATAGTCGCGGGTTAGTGAGGGCGGTGGACTGTTGTTGGCATTCATGTAGTCCTGATGGACTCTCATGGTGTTGGCTGATGGCGTGGAGAAGAGGGATGGATCGTGTTGGGGCAGCATGGTTGCGTAGGAGTAGGCAGAGCCATTGTTGCTGGGCCCTCCGAAGGACGTTGAGTAAGGAGAACCTGTTGAACTCAAGAGATTTAGATGTGGCGCAAGATCGTAAGCCGTTGGCGTGTAGGACCAAGCGTCTGGTGGTCCTGCAGTTGTTGTTGATGTTCCGAAAGGATTTATACTGTTGTTTATTGAAGTGAATGAACCTGAAAGCAAACAACAATGTTGTTTAATGCTTTTATTATATTGTTTAATGTTGTCCTGAGCATATTACTAATTCTGTACCTAGCATTCTGTTTTTCAACAGTCATAAAAATTGTTGATATATTTTAGGGAATATTTACCTGTCAAACCAGGGCTGCCTGATCCTGTTGCCATATAGCCTGTTTTCCTAGGTGGTTCTCGCTTCCTCCATTTGGCCCGTCGATTTTGGAACCAAACTTGAACTCGTGATTCCGAAAGTGCCAATTTCAAGGCGAGTTCCTCTCGTGCAAATACATCTGGATAGGGAGCTCTTTCAAATGCTCTTTCCAATTCTTCTAATTGATAGGCCGTAAACGTTGTTCTAAGATTAACAAAAATGTTATCAATTTAGAAAAAAATTTTTTTTTCTTAAATCAAATTTACTAATAATAATACTATAAATAAAAAGTTTACCAAAGTAATGTGACTTCAAAAATTAATTAAACAATACTTTAGACAAAGTTCAGTAAGAATTTTAAAAAAATATTCTTTTCTCTAAATCGTTGATGTAAGTTGTAAACCTATATCAATTTTTCTTTAAAAGTATTCTATTTTTATAAAATATGTTAATAATTATTTTTTAAAAATTAAAATTCACAAAAATGTTGGAATATAAATTGACATCCTTAAAAATAATAACATAAATTTCGAATTTTTAAATTTTTTGATAAATTTTAAGAAGTACTTTGTCGTTAAAATAAATGTGGCACAAAACTTTATCGAAATTTTTTGTTTAATTTTCCGTTTTTTATATTGAAGTTAGATCACTTTTTAAAGGTACGAGGATTTTGATAGATTTAGTGTTTCATGCCCTATGCTTTAGAAAAAAATATGCTGCATCTACCGTATGGGTAGACATAGGGGTCCCTTATAGTAATATATACTTGTGCCTGAATTTCCTTCAATTTTCACACAAGTAATTTGGACAAATGTTTATCTCTCCCCCTACTTTTTTCACTTATTGTAAAAGATAAACTCCAAATTTTTCATCCAATTTTTGAATTTTTACTTTTCCAATTATTTTAAGGAAAAATTCATAATTTCAAGTTTTGTGTGTAACAAAATCTCTACATAATGGAATTTTTGATAATTTTTATTTAAACGAAATTTTATGTTGGCAAAATTTTAAACTAATAATAGAAATTCTTTTTAGATGAGTTTCTAAATATCAGAATTTCTACAATGCGAGGTTTCAAATTTTAATGTTTAGTAAGTTACTTTTTTGCATCCAATCCATAAGGTTAAAGTGTACATACCTTGTTTTCTTCTTTTTAATTCCATTGTTATCAGTCTTCTTTTTAGAATCCTTTTTGACAGGTTGCACCTCATTATTAACTGAAACAGTGACAAAAACAAAATTTCTATAAGAAAATTTACTACATACAATACTTTCATATAAGGCTGAAGTTCGCAATATTTTGAAAACTAAAAAATAAAAAAAAAATTTTTTCAAGTAAAATTTATTTAAAATTTTTATGTGTGTAAATTATTAAAAAATTAATAGTTTCTTAAAAGATAATTGTTCAAAAATAACATGAACATATTGAATGAATATGAATATGAATATAATGAATATATATGATATGAATATATGACATATGAATTTAAACTCAAAATAAAATAAATATCGTCGCATTGAGTTCAATATTTCTTCACACGCTGATATTTTTTTTACTATCAAACCGATAATTATTGCACATGGTTCAATTCTCGAGAATGTCGTTAAAATACCAATCAAATAATTGAATTTTATGGTTTCATCTCACTTGTTTTTATGAAAGAAGGGGGAAAAAGAAATATTTCTGCTCGACATACATTACTACATGAGATTTCAGTCTTCATTTTTAAAAACGAAAAATCAAAAATTACTTTTCTTCAAACATCCCTATGGATATCCAAGTTGAATCCAATTATTTACAAATTTTTTATAAATTTTTTTGCAATGATTCAATTATTTTTATAAATACAATGTTAATCAACTTTCTCGAAAAATGTAATTATTTTTAAAAATTTTCTTAAAATTAATAAGAATTCAATTATTTAAAAATGTAATGATAAAATTTTTTAAAAATTTTTCGTACTTTTAACTAACAATTCTGTAGAATTAATTTTTTTGAAAAAATTTAAATGAATATTTTTTGAAATTATTTCAAGTTTTCTTTTTCTAATATATTAATTCAAGACTTTCCGAATAATCGAATGCTCGTAAAATTGAATTGTAAACAAATGGAATTGAAAATTCTCAAAGAACTGTTTTAAAAATGATTAAAAAATAATTGATTTTGAAGAAGAATTTTAGTTACAAATTCTAGAAAACCGAGTTGAGCCCTTTTCGAAATTCACGATTTAAATTAATGTAACAGAACATTTTTGTGAGTAAAATTTTTAAAATTTATTCTTAAATAAAACATGTGTTTATAAATTGAAATTTTTCCAAAAATTTATTAAAGATTTACTTGCAAACTTCGAAGAATTTACTTGCAAAGCTTAGTGAAAATTGTGTAAAGATTTAAATGTCCCACTTCAATAAATGTTTATCGTCAAAGTTTACTGAAAATTTAGCTTGAAACTTTTCTGAACATTTAAATTACATCTTCGGCTACTCTATATTATAAGCGAAAATTTAGCGTCAAACTTTCCTGAAAATTTGAAAGTTTCATGCTAAACATTTATTGAAGTGTGACATTTGAATCTTTACACAATTTTCACTAAGCTTTTTAAGTAAATACTTCGAACTTTGCAAGTAAATCTTTAATAAATTTTTAGGAAAGTTTCGGTGCTGTGTAGGGAGTGCGAGTTAAAAATATTTGTGTCAGAAGTGAAAAATAATATTAAGACCTTGTTTTTGAGTCATGCAAGCTCATCTCATCGACTCTGTCCACATAGTACGGAAAATTTCCTAAAAGTTGAAATTAATTTGACTGTAAACTTTGGAATCTTTAGTTGCGAAGCTCATAAAAACATAAATGTTTGATATAAAAGTTCACCGAACATTTTAAACTTTTGCATAGTTCTATCAACTTTTGCCTCAAATACTGAAAAACAGTTGAAATTTAAAGAAAAACTTGCAGTTTCTTGAGCTTTGCAACTAAAGATTCCGAAGGTGGCAGAAAAGTAAATTTCCAGTACTGTGTGGGTGACATCATATTATGGCACAAGAATGAATTCTTACCCGACGAGAGATTAACCAAGGGATCCTCGGGTTTCCTCTTCAAGGAATTTCCAAGTTGTAAACTCTGCTGAAGAGTGGTGGATGTGGAGGTGCCAGTCGTCGAAGTAGAAGTCGTAATGTCTTGCGTTTGAGGAAGTGGAGCGTACATTCCAACTAATTCGAGCTCCTTCAGCTCTTTCTGCTGCTGAAGATGTTGATGCGAAGTTTGATGATGCGGAGGCGGACTATTAGAAGTATCTAATTTATGAAGATGTCCACTATTCGGCATTATGTCACTTCCATGATGAGAATTATGCAAACCTAACATTACTTGAATACTGTGAACACCGCTACCAGTTCGATTTCCGAATTCCGAAAATATCTGATCATCGAAAGGACCACCGTCCATTTCTCCAAAAAAGAACTATAATTCCCAAAGGCTTGAAAAATAGCAAAGCACTTGTTTAATTCCTCAATCACAGTGTTGTTGATGATTTGTTAATAGACTGACTTGACTTAACCACTGACTTGATGGCTAAATTAAAAGATTAATTCGCTTAATTCGCGACTTGTGTCCTCAATCTTAATTTGAAAAAAAAGTTGCCGCCGCTTTTCGATGGTTGCGCGTGTCACTTAAACAATTATGCAAAAACTTGGATGATTACCCGTGCGGACCACGTGTAATGGAATCTGAACCAATTGTGATCAATTGTTAGCAGTTATGATTAATTTTGATTAGTTTTAAGCTGAGTTAACGAAGTAAACTAGTTGTACTGGACCTTGCAGCGCGACCGATGGAGACTGATCCCCATACGAATCTCACGATGAGTACTTGTCTGATGATCCAAAGACTGAGTTAATCACTCCACACTCACACACGTTTATATAATTTAACAATCTCGCGTAGAAACGCCCCCTACATATGAGGAGCGACCAATGGGGAGCTGCTCTTCTTCGAAGCTAATGTTTGAGAGGGCAGTTACATGCGGGCTTTGTTCGGCCTCCAAACTCCCTGATGGTCAAGATGACTTTCCAAACAGTCGTATATTGTCATCTTCTTCTACTTCTTTGGTTATTTGCTATCGTTATCGAATATCGTTGTGATTCTCATTTGAACATTGTCAATTTTCATACCTGCTTTTTTTCTTAATTTCATGTTTACGCAAATGATTACGCGTAAGGAATGGGAGATGTGTTCGCAATAAAAACACCGACAGGGAAAACACCAAACTTTGAAAACCGGGTAAAAGACGTGAATACATTTTTTTAAAGGCATTGTCAAAAAATATTTATACCGAATAATCAAAAATCAGTAAATTTAGAAAATTGATAAAAAAAATAGTTATTGAAATGTTACTACTTTTCGATTCTGATCCTATGCAAGTTTAGATGCTGTGGGGAATATATTTACAGAAACAAGAATTTTTTGTATAAAATTAGTTTTACTTTTACTTCCTTCCTGACAAATTTATTATTAAAGGGACAGTCCAGGTCTTTTACACTACATATTTTGAAGAAATCTTTTTTCAAAGTAAAATCTATTCAAATATCTTAAAATTTTTATATATTTTACCTCACATACATTAAATATTTTAAATAGATGAAATATTTTTTTTGTAATTTTTATATTTATGGCGATTGAAAGATTAATCAGTAGAAATTTGCTTGATATAGCAATCTAGAGGTTTAGAAACGTTTGAAACAAAAAATTTAAAGGGAATATTAAAATATAAGATTTTAAATTAGTATAATATTAAATTGTATTAATATATCAAATTTTAAAACAGAATTGTAGACAACTAAATATTTCGACCCTTTTTTTGCATCTAAATTCTACAGTCGACATTTTAAATAAATTTTAAAAAACAAAATTTTTCAAAACATAATGCAAAAGACCTACGGACTGACCCCTTAAGCAAAATATATGAAAAATAACTAATTTTTTAATACATTTAAAATTTCATTTACTTCTTTTTTTAAGTAGAATCTTAATTTTAAAAAAATTTGAATCTTTTTTCGAAATCTTAAAAAAAATCGCGAAAAAGCTTTAAATTTAGTTTTCAAAATTTAGAGGTCACCCTAAGCGACAGAATTATTAGATATAAAAGAATATATTTACCAGTGAGTGCAGTTATACATGGTACAATAATGATTATAAGAATATTTTTAATTATTTTCTAATATTTTAAAATTTTACTACCTGATTTGAAGTTGGGCCTCAAAATTATCCATGTTTTGTAGAAAAATTACCCTTTGCAGCTAACCTATTATCTAAAAAACGTAAAAAATTTAATTACACTTCAAGGCTTCGCAAGCGATAAACTGAAAAAAAGAACTACGAATTGAATAGCATTTATAAAATATCAGTTTTGAATGAATTTAATTAGAAATATTAAAGAACTTAGATTGTTGAAAAATTTTAATATAAATCTAATTCTTCTGAAATCAGTTAAACATTTTAATATATATATATATATATATATATATATATATATATATATATATATATATATTTTTTTTTCAAAAGTAATAAAATTCTTCGCAAACATTCAATTATGTTCAAAAATTTTTAAAATTCTCTTTAAAATTTCAATTATCTTTATAAATAATAAAATTTTTTCCAAAATTCAATTATCTTCAAAAATTTTAATAAAATTCTTGGCAAAATTCAATTATTTTCAAAAATTTTTCAAAATGAATAAATTATTTAAAAAGAATTTTGATAAAATTCTACGCAAACATTTAATTATTTTTATAAATACCTTGAAATTTCACAGAAATTCAATTATTTACAAATTTTTCATGAATTTCTTCGCAATAATTCTATTATTTTCATAAATAATAATAAAAATTTTTACAGGAAATTTAATCAAATTTCTCGAATATTCTTAAAAATGTTATTATAATTTTCTAGTAAAAATTAATTTGAAAATTAATTTGAGTTAAAGCTATAGATAATAATTATGAATATTTAGAAATAATTGAGTTTTGAAAATGTTTTAAATTCGAACCATTCAAAATCTGAATTTTTCAAATTTTTTTTTTTAATTATAATTAATTATGTAGAGTTAATTTTTTTGCAAAAATTTAATTAAGTTTTTTCCTCGAAATTATTTCAAGTTTTTATTTTCTAATAATTTATATTTATAATTGAAGAATTTCCAAATAATCGAAATTTCGTAAAATTGAATTTTTAAAAAACTTAATCATGGAAGAATAATATAATATATAATAATACTGCCGAGTGATCAATTCAATCTACATATTAATAATAATATATGATTGAATATTTATTTTAAATAAAACTATTGATGTTTATGAATAACTTTTTAATTAAAGAAATTCTCAAATTAAGAACATTTTTTTTTGAGTATTTAATAATTTTGAAAGTGAATCAGAATACTCTTTAGATAGATATATAGATATAGCAAACGATCACAAAAAAGATTTATAAAATTTAAAAAATTAATTTTTTAAAAATACGAATACATCTCGCGGTATTATTTTGAAAGAATATACTTTGGAAAATGATTATTGAAAATGCGAGAATCTATGTTTACTTCCAAACTGTATATTATATGATATAATAAATATCTACCCTTTAAGTAATAAATATATAAGTTAGTAGAAGATCAGAATGAAATTTGTTTCAATTAATTTTTTCTTTTTAAAATGAATTTTAAACTGAAATCTGCTTAGATTGTCGGACATGGTTAAAGAACGGAAACGCGGTGAGTCATTATCTGCGAGGGTCGGACATTTTGAACTCGTACTCACTGTGCTTTCGCGTCCCATTATAAACTTGGCAAAACATTTGCACAGGAAGAATATTCATTCTGTTTCAGCAATTGTTTAAATTTAAAAATACTTAATTATTATTACAATATATTTACTAAATGAATTTAGAGCGAGAAGTAAACTTTTGTCAAAAAGTTTTTAAATTTGTAAAATAATGTAAAAACGTATAAATAAAATAGTGAGCGTAGCAAATATAGACGAATAATAGTACCATATAGTAGAAAGTTTAAGAATTTATACCATAATAATGATAAGAACTGGTAGAAAATACCTTTTAATTTATTTGTAAGCTTGACGAAAACTTATCTTGAAATTAGACACTTTAGGAGAAGTCTCCCATACATATAGGATAAAACGGTGTAGTGGGGCTTTCGAAATTTCCCATGTGGGTCAATTATATTTCAGAACACTCCACCGGCAATGAGAAAAATGGGCTGTTGAACTCCCACAATAGAAGAAGGTGCTTGCCTTTTCAGAAATTCACAATATCGAAAAAAAAGAATTTCATAAACATATCAAAACACATCAAAAAAATATATAAAGTAATGGAAAAATTTAAAGAAACTAATTATTTAACTTTAGGAGAAATTTTTATGCTATTATTTAGCGTAGTTTCGGTGGATAATATTATCAAAAAACTTATGTTTTTGTGTACGTCAAATTGTATTGTCAAATTTTCCCAAGTAACCTGTAAGTTTTCAGCAAGTTTCCTTTTGCAAGCTTGCTGAAAACTTAATTTTTCAGAACTTGCAGTGCAAGATGGCTGCAAGTAGCAAAATATCCTCATAACACAGTGTGACAAAATAAAAAAAGTTGCCTGCACTTTTATAGAGACCTAGTACAAGTTGTAGGTCTAGTAAAACTATGAACAATGATGTGTGAGAAATTTCCTAAACACCCCCAAAATTTAATTTTAGGGGCAAAAAACCGTTTTTTGTGTTTTTATGTAGACAATTATACGTAACTTCCGTAATTTTCAACCGATTTTCAAAATTGTTCTTTTGTTTGAAAGGGGAAAAGCACACCTTTTCAACCGTGTATTGCCCGTTTTTGTCAAAATAAAAATTGACAAAACCGCGGTTGAAAATATTTGCGATTTAACGATTTTCATTGCATTTTTTCAACTTTAACGAGCTTTTTAGAATAATATTCGAATTTACAGATTTTTTTCATGATAATTTCTTAAAAGTATACTTAATTCTGCGTAAAATGAGCATTTTTTGAAAAAAATTTAATACAAATTGAGGGAGATACGTGAATTTTAAGATTTTAAAATTTTTTCGCTAAATTTACAAATATTTCAATTTTGTTGTGGAATTTACATCAGGGCACTTTCAATTTTGTATTCACTAAATTTAATTGATTAACTAAAACGGCATGCATGTCAAACTTGTTTTTGATAGATTTAAATAAAGACAGAGTCCGTATTTAGAGGGGGTCCGGTTAAATTTTAACTTTTCTATAATTTATATTGTTTAAGTGTGTCAATGTTTTTCAAACATTATTTAGGATTAAAATCTATTCTATAATCTTCAAATAAAGAATAACAGATAATTATTTGACAATTTATATAAGAATGCCTTAAAATTTCGTAAAATATAAATTTGAACTTCTACCGCATTTTTTAATTATTTTTTATTGTCGAACTTTTCGCTTTTTTCGCAATACTGAACAATTTTATTAATTTTGATAACATAGAATAGATTTGAATCCTAAATAATGTTTGAAAAACATTAACACACTTAAACAATATAAATATAGAAAAGTTAAAATTTAACCAGACCCCCTATAAATACGCACACTGTCTTTATTTAAATCTATCAAAAACAAGTTTGACATGCATGCCATTTTAGTTAATCAATTAAATTTAGTGAATACAAAATTTAAAGTGCCCTGATGTAAATTCCACAACAAAATTGAAATACTTGTAAATTTAGCGAAAAAATTTTAAAATCTTAAAATTCACGTATCTCCCTCAATTTGTATTAATTTTTTTCAAAAAATGCTCATTTTACGCAGAATTAAGTATACTTTTAAGAAATTATCATGAAAAAAATCTGTAAATTCGAATATTATTCTAAAAAGCTCGTTAAAGTTGAAAAAATGTAATGAAAATCGTTAAATCGCAAATATTTTCAACCGCGGTTTTGTCAATTTTTATTTTGACAAAAACGGACAATACACGGTTGAAAAGGTGTGCTTTTCCCCTTTCAAACAAAAGAACAATTTTGAAAATCGGTTGAAAATTGCGGAAGTTACGTATAATTGTCTACATAAAAACACAAAAAACGGTTTTTTGCCCCTAAAATTAAATTTTGGGGGTGTTTGGGAAATTTCAAACATACTACTTTTTTCAGTTTTTCAACACGAACAAGTTAGGATAGGTCCGATTTAAAGTGCCATTTTACTGTCACACAGTGTAATTTATAAATTATTTAATGAATAATTTTACTTATTCAATATTTGAAAACTAATTCAATTTTAAAAGAGTTGCGTTTACAATTTTCATGTTTAAATAAATGAACTTCAAATAAACGGTTTCAATTTAAAATTTTTGAAAATTCCAATTTTTAATCAATTTTATTAGAAATTCTAAAAAGATTTTTGAAAAATTTTAATAATTCAAATTCTTCTGAAATTAGTTAAATTTTTTAATATAAATTTTTTTAATTATTAAAAATAATTGATTTATAGAAGAATTTTAGTAAAAAACACTAAGAAAAATTATTGAATTCTGGAGAAGTTACAAATGATTGCAGAAATTCAATTATTTTCTATAAAGTAATAAAATTCTTCGCAGAAATTCAGTT